CATGATTTCATTCTCTCATGGTCTATAAAACTCTCCATTCAACTAATTGCTAGTAGCATATTTTATAAGTTTAGGGGATGTTATGGTTGAGATGATGGTTTGTCCTCCTAAGTGTCATGTTTTAGATTTTGCTGTTGGGAGGGGATAAGGCCTAACGGGTGGTGATGGGATCATGCTGACTGCTTTAATGAATAGGTCAATAATTTCATGAATAGAGTGAGTCTCTTGAGACCGAGTAAAGTTCTGTTGGGTTATCTGGAAAGTTAGGATGCATTTCTGCATAGAAAACAAGAAAAATTCGTCATGACTTGCCCGATGACTGAATAGCTCTCATAGGAGGGGTTAGTTCTCAAGAGAGCTGGCTGTTGTAAAAGAGGAGCTGCCAGCAGCTGCTTCTCTCTGTACGTGCCTGCCATCTTCTGTGCTGTCAGCCACGCTGCAGGCTGGCCTGATGCCAGGACTACATCTTCAGGCTTTCCAGCCACCAGGATTGTAAGTTTTGTGAAGAAACCTCTATTTTCTTTATAAATCAACTGGGTTCAGGTGTTACTATGTAGCAACACAGTAACAGACTAAGACAGAGGAATACAAGAAGGAGTTGATCATCTCACCCTCCTGTCATTATCAACCATGTGGGAGGTTCAGCACTTTAACCACCACGCCACCTGCAGATCATTATCAATCAGTATCAATAATCAAAATGTAGATAAGTAGCTTAAAATGAACAGACTATCTGGCTAGAATAATCCTTACACTGATTACATTCTGAAATCGTTAGAGCTACAATAGGTCTTTCCCGGTCAAAAACCAAGTACCATCCTCCCAAGGACCTAAAGTTTTTGGTAGAGGCTGTGATACAGATACACACCTGCTGCTATACCACTTTTAGTTAAGGTAACCTATTTCTCTGTTATTTGCTTCCCAAAGGACCTAACAAAATACTTTCAGAAAAATAAGCCATAAAAGTGGAATTGTAGAACATAATGACCAAGAAAACAGTACTCATCCTCTTGACCTTAAACAAAAAGACCATACACAGAATTACAAAACTGACTTTAAAAATTGGGGCCGGTGGGACCAGCAGTTGGCGTAATGGCTATGTCACTGGACTCCCATGTAGTCAACCGTGGTTCGAGTCCCAGGCCTGGTGGCTTAAACTCACCCCGGGCGCGTGTGTGCACGTGCCCAAGATCCCGAGAGGAGAACGGAGGAGAAGGGATTGTGGCGTGGCCATCCCCCCTGGAGGGCGATTTCTGGCTTTCTTCCTCCTGTCTGTCGCTCTCTTTCTGGTGAGTGCACGCACCCAATAGCAAAAACCTCTCAAAAAAAAAAAAAAAAAAAAATTGGGGCCGGGAGGTGGAGTTGTGGTTAAGGTTGCTGAACTCCCACATGGCCGACTGTGGTTCGAGTTCCAGACCAGGTGGCTTGCATTCTCGCTTTCCCTGTCTCTCTCTCTCTCTCACTCTGTCCCTCTCTGGTCAAGTTAAAAATAAATAAAGTTAAATAAAAATAATTATTTAATAAGTAAGTAAATAAATAAAAGACCAGTAGACAGTATAATGGCTATGTCACCAGATTCCCACATAGTTGACCATGGTTCAAGTCTTGGACCTGGCAACTTAAAACTCATGACAGGTGCATGTATGTATGTGCTCCAAATCCCAAGAAGGGACTGGAGGAGAAGGGATTGCAGCGTGACCATCCTCCCTGGGGAAATGATTTCTGTCTTTCTGGAGAGCACATGTGCCCTGTAGCAAAAGTCTCCCTAATAAAAAATAAATAAAGTATCCAAGATAATATAAAGAGATCAAAACCAGAAATTTCTGTCCTACCAAAAGTAATATTATTCATCAAGGAAGATTCATATAAAAGATTTCCTTATTCACATTTTTAATACACTAATAAATGCCTATGTAAATGAGTAAATTGCTGAATCATGGTCCAAGCCACTATCTTAAATATTAACTTGAAAACTTGTTTAAATACTGAACTTGGTTCTGATGAGCAAAAGATACACATACACAATCTTTTTTGTTTTCCTATAGAACATGTGTGCTTGCCTGAAAGAGAAAGAGACAGAGGGAGAGTGAGAAAGCAGCCCTACAGGGCATGACCACACAGCAATCCCTTCTCCTCTCAGGATTTTAGGCACACATACACACATGCCTGGAGTGTTTCTCAAGGGTATCCAGGACTCAAACTTCACAGATGCCCTATGTGGGATCCAGCTGCCTTAATCACCATACTACCTCAATGGCCCCCCACACACTATTATCTGTTTAACCATATTCTAAAATATTGCCTGTAGATATTATTGAATTTAACTGACATATAATTCCATTTCAGTGCCATGTTATTACTCTGATAGTGAAAGAAAGACTTGTAAAACAAAAAATTATTTCTTATAAGAAAACATGAGGGTCAGCAGGTGGTATGTGGTTAAAGCAGCTGGATCCCATATGGCCAACTTCACAGTTCCAGTCCCGGACCTGACAGCTTGAAAATTATGCCAGGCATGTGTGCCCAAAATCCCCAAGAGAAGAACTGAAGAGAAGGGGCTGTGGTATGGCTATATCCCCTGGGGAATGATTTCTCAATTTCTCACGTTTCCTCTCTCTCTCTCTCTCCATCTCTCTCTCTCTCTCCGGCCAGCACACGCACCCTATGGCAAACTACAAAAAAAGAAAAAAAACATAAACAGGTATGAAACTAGTCTGGAGTGAAATTTTACATCATTTTAATTTTTTATTATTATTTGTTAAGACAGTGTCTCGCCACGGCACAGTCCTGCCTCAACTTTCCTGCTGGGACTATGGGTGTACACCATTACATCCAACTTTTATTTTCTTTTTTCAAAAATCCAGACTTTCACTATGTTGCCCAGGCCAGTCTCAAGCTTGAAGTCCTCCCATCTCAGTCTTCCAAGTTGCTGAGTTTACAGGGAAGGGCTCAGCCTTCAAGTTGGAGCGGGTCTTGAACCCAGACCTTCCCTGTTATCCCAGCCTGCAGAACACAGCACCTTAGCCCACAAACTGCAACTGGGCTAGAAATTTTAGTAATTTTAAAGAGCTCTAATATTTCTGCTTTATGGCATTAAGTTGTCTTTTCCAATATTTAAGTCTCAAACACACCTTCAAAGCATTATAAAGGTTGTCTCCATAGCTAAATGGTTAAGGGAGTCCAATCCCATATGGACAACCATGATTGGAGTTCCAGCCCCAATGGCTTGAAACACATGCTGGGCACACACATGTACATGCCCAAAATCCTGATGGAAGGAGAAATGGAGGAAAAGAGATTACGGTGTGACCATGCCCCCCACTGGGGGTGCTTTCTCTCTTTCTGGCAAGTGCAAATGTCCTATGGCAATTAAAAAACAAAAACAAAACAGGGCACTAGCAGATGGCATGGTGGTTAAAGCACTGGACACTCCTTCATGGCCAACAATGGTTTGCGTCCCGGACCTAGTGACTTACTTTCTCACTCCCCCGCACTCTGGTCAAATTAAAATAATAAATGAATAAATAAAAATTTAAAAAAACAGCACTATCATGACTAGTCATCCACACATGTCAAATTATGAAAGATTTATTCCCATTAAAACACCACAAAGTTTTGGGAACCAGCAGTTAGTGTAATGGCTATGTCGCTGGACTCCCACGTAGTCGACCGTGGTTCGCATCCCAGACCCAGTGGCTTAAAACTCACGCCGGGCGTGTGTGCGTGTGTGCCCAAGATCCCGAGAGGAGAATGGAGGAGAAGGGATTGCGGCGTGACCATCCCCTCTGGGGGGTGACTTCTCGCTTTCTGTCTCTATGTCTCTCTCTGTCTGTCTGGCAAGCGCACGCGCCCTATAGCAAAAACCTCTCCAAAAAAACAAAAACAAACAAACAAAAAAACACAAAGTTTTAGCAAATTAACCAGTGATATCAAAAAGAACTGTGGTTACATGCCATTACTCTGTATAAAACAAACAATGCCAGCATGCCTGGGTCACTGGCTTATGTACTGGAACATATCTGTCCTAAAGTTTTATTTTGTAATTAGCCTATGGCACTTTATTTTCTATTTCCTCCTCCCCCCAATACAACAGTAAATCAAGACCCTTTGCTTTAAAAAGATTTAATATTTTTGTAAATGTACAACTTAATAAAATATGCTCTTTAAAATTAAAGAGTTGACTTCCTGACAAACTCAGTACTAACTCTTAGTGTTTAGTTTCACCAAGAACTTCGCCAATTCACACATTAGAAAAAATATTCTAGACTATAAAAGAAGAATGGAGGTGCTTTAAAGAATAACCAATGTTTTTTTGAGAGAGAGGCTTTTGCTATAGGGCGCGTGCACTCGCCAGACAGACAGAGACAGAAGAGACAGAAAGTGAGAAATCAACCCCCAGGGGGGATGGCCATGCCGAAATCCCTTCTCCTCCATTCTCCTCTCAGGATCTTGGGCATGCACGCACACGCACCCGGCGTGAGTTTTAAGCCACCAGGTCTGGGACGTGAACTGCAGTCGACTACATGGGAGTCCATGACATAGCCATTACACTACCTGCTGGTCCCAAGAATAACCAATTTTGATGTTAATAAGTTCTTAGCTGATTTTCTTTGAACTCTGGATAAATGATTTAAATAAATTAATTCTTAAATAAACTTGATTTCCATCCAAATTATTTTATTCTTATTTATAATGATATTCTCAATTTTAGCTAAAACTGAAAGGTTTCTATTAATAAAATGAGAAGCCATATCTCTAATACATACAGAATTCATTTTTTCTACCTCACATAAAGCTAAAAACATTTCTTACAATATAAAGTTAACAAAATTCAATTTTCTCTACTGATACTTAATGCATAAGGATAATCAAGTGTCTCCCCAACAGTGCAGTAAATTTTGGCATTAGCTGAAAATAATCCAAAATTTCCTCTGGTAAACATAATTTTAGCCATAAATGAAGACAAAAAAATAAAACAAATCACTTAATTCTAGAACACCTCTAGTCACAAATAGGTCTTATTTAGGTTTACAGAAAGCATCTAATTGCATAAACTCTATAGGGAAAAATAACCATATTTGGAAACAGCTACAAGGATCAACGTAGAGCACAGGATTGTAATTAGCAGAGTCACAGAACATACTAAAGAGGTATGTACAGTCAGTCCCACTGGAACCTGTAGAGTCACATTCTTATAGACCTACAAGGAGAAGGATAGAGAAATTAGAGAACATTTAAAATGCATATGCCAGAGTAAGACCACTATTTGTTTTGTTTTTAATTTTACCTTTTTCTTTTCTCTTTTGAATATCTTTCAGCCAATGCTACACTACATGTGTTTGATTGTTTCTGTTAGATCCAGTATTTTATTTACTGTTATAGAATCAGAGCCAATTGCCACAGTAATTCAAACTTTCTCATTAAATCCAACTTTTTCTACTTTATACAGAGTTGAATATATTCTCTTTAAGAGCGCTGTATCTCAGTGTTACCTATGTAGTCACATAAACATTTCTCTTGCTATATGTCACATCAGAGTAGGGAATTCTCTCAAAGTTGAAGCCTCAGAGAAAACATTAAATGCAACAAAACTAAAGTATCCATTTATTCCTGCTTTGTGGTTTCTCTCCCCCACTAGATTTTACAAGTTTGGTGTTCACAAACTGCACAACTGAGTGTGTCCTTTACTACTACTAGTGATGTAGAACTATGTTCAACTTAGTTTGTATTTTCTCTTTGGTATTGAAGAAAAAGGGATTGGATTAGAAATGGTAGGAAATGTTGTGGTTTAAAAATAAGTTTTAAAGGCTGGCCCTGTAGCCTAGCAGTTAGGTGACCCAGACAGCACACAGTCTATTACGGTTCAAGTCCCAACCCTGGTGGCATGAAAAACATGCCAGGCACCTGTGCATGAATGCCTGAAATCTGGACAGGATGGAGAAGTGAAGGAGAAGGGATTGTGGCATGACCATGCTCCACTCAGGGAGCTCCGTAGCTTTCTGTCCCTGCTCAGTTTCTCTGTCTTTCTCTGGTAAGCACATGTATCCTCTAGCAAGCATAAAAAAAATTTTTTTTAAGTTTAAAAAAAAATGAAATTTAGGTAACCTAAGAACAGTTTTCATTTCTGTTTTCTTTTCATAAATACCAAAACTATGATATCATCCACTCCTCCCCCAAAAAGTTACCAACCCAATCTACAACAAAGTGTTAGGTGAAAATTATCTTTCAAAAAAATGGCATCTTCAATAATCCTTCAATAATACAAAACACCACTTCAGTAATAATCATCTACTTTTTCTGGTTTATATAAAGAACAAATAAAACACAAAATGTAAATGCTTAATGATTGCTGGGACCAGCAGTTAGCATAATGGCTATGTCGCTGGACTCCCATGTAGTCGACCGCGGTTCGCGCCCCGGACCTGGTGGCTTAAAACCCACACCGGGCGCGTGTGCATGCGTGCCCAAGATCCTGAGAGGAGGATGGAGGAGAAGGGATTGCGGCGTGGCCATCCCCTCTGGGGGGTGATTTCTCGCTTTCTGTTTCTCTGTCTCTGTCTGTCTGGCGAGCGCACGCGCCCTATAGTGAAAAACCTCTCAAAAACAAAAAACAAACAAACAAAAAAACAATGCTTAATGATTGCTTATTTAGTTATATGGTTTCAAAGGGAACTGAGTTCAAAATGCTTTAATAGGTTCATTATTTATTTAGCATTAGTATATACTACTTTTATAAATAAGCACTAAGTATATTCTTTATACATATAAAAAAAATCAAGTGTAGGGGCAGTAGGTAGCATGGTGGTTGAGGGCACTGGACTCCCATGTGGCCAACTACAGTTCAAGTCTCAGACCTAGCAGCTTCTGTTCTCACTTTCTTTCTCTCTCTCTCTCTCTCTCTCTGTCTTTCTTTGGTCAAATTAAAAAAATAAAAATAATAAATGAGGTTAAATAAAATAATTATTTAAAAAATCAAATGTAATTTCAGATTTTTAAAAATTATTTATTATATTTACCATTATTCATTTGCTATAGAGTACATATGCTCACCAGAGAGAGAAGGAGAGAAAAAAAAAAAAGAGAGAGAGAGAGGAAGTGAGAAAGCAAGCCATCAGGTCTAGGTTCAAATCATGGTGGGTCATGTGGGAGTCTAGCACATCAACCATCATGTCACCTGCTGGCCCTAGGCATGGGGAAAAAAATTCAGGTACTATATTGCAATGACAATTGAATCAAAAGCAATTCTACCTTGCATAAGATATTAGTACAATCATCCATCTTTCTGTCAGTTCAAAGGAAGTTCTCTAATAGAAAATAGCAGTCAGTCCTTTGTAGTAAGTCTTTACCATAAATAGTGGTAGACAGCTGGTAGACTTCTAAGCGAGCACAAGGGTATTATATCAAATCTAAATATTCACAATAGTACATATAAAAAAAAAAACCCTGCCTTATGGTTATGTGATTGAGAGTGCTAATATCCGCTGGTTTAAAATTTAAATTTATTTTAATTTCATTACAATTCATTTGACTCTTCATAAAAGTAAATTATAAAAATGACAGATTGTTTCATTCAACCAAAGAAAGCAATCCTTTCAGAGAATTAGGAACAAAGAGAAATACCAATAGTAATACTGTAAACATCAGTTTAAAAAGACCTCATGCCCAACCACTGTGGTGTGCACTGCTGAAACGCTGTGCTCCACAGGCTGGTATCGCACAGGAAGAATGGGCCGGATTCCTGGTCCAACCAAATGCCAGGTGTGGTGGCTTGCACCTGTGATTCCAGCAACTTGGGAAGGCTGAGGCAGAAGGGTATCAAACTCAAGGCTGGCTTGGACGATATACAGCAACCTATATAAACAGGGCAGGGCGTGTTTGTGCATACCAGCTGGGAAACCAAGGAAGGAGAATCAGGACATGTCTAGACCCTGTCTTTAAAAAAAGGGGGAGATGAGCAGCAGTTTATGAAAAAGGAACAAAAGGATGATTAAAAGGGGGGGAGGCAGTTGATGATGCAGTGGTTATGTCACTGGACTCTCACATGGCCAACTGTGGTTTGAGTCCTGGACCCGTGGCTTAAAAGCATGGTGGTTGAGGGCACTGGACTCCCATGTGGCCAACTACAGTTCAAGTCTCAGACCTAGCAGCTTCTGTTCTCACTTTCTTTCTCTCTCTCTCTCTCTCTCTCTGTCTTTCTTTGGTCAAATTAAAAAAATAAAAATAATAAATGAGGTTAAATAAAATAATTATTTAAAAAATCAAATGTAATTTCAGATTTTTAAAAATTATTTATTATATTTACCATTATTCATTTGCTATAGAGTACATATGCTCACCAGAGAGAGAAGGAGAGAAAAAAAAAAAAGAGAGAGAGAGAGGAAGTGAGAAAGCAAGCCATCAGGTCTAGGTTCAAATCATGGTGGGTCATGTGGGAGTCTAGCACATCAACCATCATGTCACCTGCTGGCCCTAGGCATGGGGAAAAAAATTCAGGTACTATATTGCAATGACAATTGAATCAAAAGCAATTCTACCTTGCATAAGATATTAGTACAATCATCCATCTTTCTGTCAGTTCAAAGGAAGTTCTCTAATAGAAAATAGCAGTCAGTCCTTTGTAGTAAGTCTTTACCATAAATAGTGGTAGACAGCTGGTAGACTTCTAAGCGAGCACAAGGGTATTATATCAAATCTAAATATTCACAATAGTACATATAAAAAAAAAAACCCTGCCTTATGGTTATGTGATTGAGAGTGCTAATATCCGCTGGTTTAAAATTTAAATTTATTTTAATTTCATTACAATTCATTTGACTCTTCATAAAAGTAAATTATAAAAATGACAGATTGTTTCATTCAACCAAAGAAAGCAATCCTTTCAGAGAATTAGGAACAAAGAGAAATACCAATAGTAATACTGTAAACATCAGTTTAAAAAGACCTCATGCCCAACCACTGTGGTGTGCACTGCTGAAACGCTGTGCTCCACAGGCTGGTATCGCACAGGAAGAATGGGCCGGATTCCTGGTCCAACCAAATGCCAGGTGTGGTGGCTTGCACCTGTGATTCCAGCAACTTGGGAAGGCTGAGGCAGAAGGGTATCAAACTCAAGGCTGGCTTGGACGATATACAGCAACCTATATAAACAGGGCAGGGCGTGTTTGTGCATACCAGCTGGGAAACCAAGGAAGGAGAATCAGGACATGTCTAGACCCTGTCTTTAAAAAAAGGGGGAGATGAGCAGCAGTTTATGAAAAAGGAACAAAAGGATGATTAAAAGGGGGGGAGGCAGTTGATGATGCAGTGGTTATGTCACTGGACTCTCACATGGCCAACTGTGGTTTGAGTCCTGGACCCGTGGCTTAAAACTCATGCCGGGTGCATGTGCATGCATGCCACAGATTCCAGGAAGAGAATGAAGGAAAAGGAATTGCAGCAGGACCATCCCCACCTGGGAGGGTGATTTAAGGTGCTGGACTACCAAATGGCCCGCTGTAGTTTGAGTCCTGGAACTGGTGGCCTGATATTCACACTGGGTGTGCATGCCCAAAATCCCAAAAGAAAAATGGAGAAGGGACTGCAATGTGGCCATCCCCTATGGGTGTGTAATTTCTTACTTTCCCTTTCTGTGTCTCTGTCTTTCTCTGATGAGCGCATGCACCTTATGGCAAAAAAACAAAACAAGTATTAAAAAAAATTAAAAGGGGAAAAGCAATACACTGTACAAAGACAGCACTGTGAGGAGAGGAAAGTAGACTATGTAACTAATGAGGGTAAGAAGAAAACAGCAGACTCCTAAGACAAAGTCAATGCTAATGAAATTTAAAACTTACCAACTTAGGGGCTGGCAGGTGGCGTGGTGGTTAAGGACACTAGACTCTCAACACGGCTTATGGTGGTTCAAGTACCAAACCTGATGGCTTGCTTTCTTACCCCCCAAGACCTGTCCCTCTCTAGTCAAATTAAAATAAACAAAGTTAAATAAAAAATAATTGTGGGACCAGCAGTTAGGGTAATGGCTATGTCGCTGGATTCCCACGTAGTCGACCGCGGTTCGCGTCCCGGACCCGGTGGCTTAAAACTCATGCCGGGTGCATGTGCGTGCGTGCCCAAGATCCCAAGAGGAGAATGGAGGAGAAGGGATCGCGGCGTGGCAGACCCCCTGGGGGGTGATTTCTCGCTTTCTGTCTCTCTGTCTCTGTTTGTCTGGTGAGTGCACGCACCCTATAGCAAAAACCTCTCAAAAAACAAACAAAAAAAACAAACAAAAAAAACTCATGCTGGGCGCATGTGCATGCGTGCCCAGGATCCCGAGAGGAGAATGGAGGAGAAGGGGTTGTGGCACGGCCATCTCCCGTGGGGGGGTGATTTCTCGCTTTCTGTCTCTCTGTTTTTCTGGTGAGCACATGCACCCTATAGCAAAAACCTCTCCAAAAACAAAAGAAATAAAAAGATAATTGTTAAAAAAAAAAAAAAAACTATTTCCAATTTAATAACTGAAAACTTGAACCATAGCCGATTACATGGGAGTCCAACGACACAGCCATTACGCTAACTGCTGGTCCCAATCCACCCTAATCTTCAGCCAGCCCTGGATCACAGGCATGCGTGTCCTCAAAGTACTCAGGAGGATCTCTGGACACAAATCCAGAACCTTCCATATGGGTCACCCTTGCAGACCAGTTATATTTTTCAACTGGGCCATCATCTAGCTCCTTATGTATGTTCATTTATTTTTAAGGTTTTTGCCATAGGATGTGTGTATTCACCGGAGAGAGGCAGAGAGAAAGTGAAAAAATCACATCTCCCCCCAGAAGGGATAAACACACACAATCCTTTCTCTTTCATTCTTCATTTGGGACCTTGGGCATGCCCAGTGTGACTTTTTCTTTGGAGAGGTTTTTCGCTATAGGGCGCGTGCGCTCGCCAGACAGAGAGAGACATAGAGACAGAAAGTGAGAAATCACCCCCCAGGGGGGATGGTCACGCCGCAATCCCTTCTCCTCCGTTCTCCTCTCGGGATCTTGGGCACGCACGCACACACGCCCGGCGTGAGTTTTAAGCCACCGGGTCCGGGACGCGAACCGTGGTCGACTACGTGGGAGTCCAGCGACACAGCCATTACGCTAACTGCAGGTTCCCTGCCCAGTGTGACTTTTCAAGCCACCGGGTCTGGGGCTCAAATCGCAGTCAGCCATGTAGGAGTCCAGCACCTTAAGTACTATACCACCTGCTGGCCTTTTGTGTTTGTTTTAAATATTTCTTATTTGCTACTGATGGCAACAGTGTTTCCCTGGGTAAAGTTACAGATTTTTTAAAAATTTGGAGCAGGATTTTTAGGGCTAGGATTGAGCTTCCTTGGTTCAGAGCTTGAGTATACTGACATACTTTGTAAAGGTATGAAATGGCAAAGAAAAACAGTGGCATGTTCATCTGGTTCTCTTTATCAAAAAACCTGCATTTTTATTTAGAACTTTTTGTTAATTTTTGAACAAAATTAATTAACCTAATTATTTACAAAGAGCAAATGAGTGGGCCAGTAGGTGGCATGGTGGTAAGGTGCTGGACTCCCTCATGGCCAACCGTGACTCAAGTCCTAGACCTGGTGGCGTGCTTTCTCACTTTCTCTCTCTCTCTCTCTGACTCTCTATGGTCAAATTAAAAACAATAATAATTAATAAATAAAATCAAATAAATAATTATTAAAAAAGAACAAGTGAGAAAAGAAAAATGAAACTCAAGGTAGTATCATTTCAACTATGATAGTTTCTAGACCGTTGTATTGCTATTTTATATGTACATCTATTCAATAGGAAATTCAGGACATTTTTAGGAGTTTTGACCTCCCCAACTTTCAGTTTTTTGTTTGTTTCATTTTGTAGTTTGTTTGTTTGTTTTTTTTCTTTGCCAGAGAGTGTATGTGCTCACTGGAGAGAGACAGAGAGAGGGAAAGTGAGAAAGTGCCACTCAACTCCCCCCAACCCCAACCCCCTGCCACTGTGGGGAATCCCTTCTCCATTTTGGACCATGCAGTTGGTTACGTGGGACCCAGCTGCCTTAACCACCATGTCAGGGGCTGGTCCTGTCTTAAGTGCTATCTCTCTCTCTGTCTCCCCTGCTCTCAGAAGTAGTAAACACATAGTGCCACCAGGTGGCATGATGGTTACAGGCACTGGACTCCCACATGGCCCAACACAGTTCAACCAGACCTGATGGCTTGTCTTTCTCGCTTTCCCTCTCTCTCTCTCTGGTCAAATTAAAAAATAATAAGTGGAATGATATAAATAAGTAAGTATTTTAAAAAAGAAGTATATAAATCTAAAAATAAGACAAAAAGCTTTCTATGTTACAACAGAAAACACCACCTCTTTAAATGTGGCAGAAACTTTATACAAAGAGTTTTAAATGAGGCGGCAAGATCTAACAACACAAAATATTAGCTTACTGATTTATACTTCATATTGTTCCACTGGCAGATATCCTTAGTCTTCAAATCACAAGGAGCTGCCACTTCTGACTGGGCCCAGCATTTCAAAACTGGGAACTCTGAAAAAACAGTAGAATGTGACATCAGAAAACCTGTATTTAGATTTAAGGCAAGGCTTGTACTGAATCTCAACAGAAGTCTTGCACGTGGACTATATGACTTGTACCCGATTTTCACATGCTGTTATCTCTGGCTGTTTTTTTTTTTTTTTTTTTTTTTTTTTTTTTTGAGAGGTTTTTGCATTAGGGCATGTGCACTCCCCAAAAAGAAAAAATGAGAGAGACAGAAAGCGAGAAATCACCCCTTGGGGGGGATGGCCACGTCACAATCCCTTCTCCTCCATTCTCCTCTCGGAATCTTAGGCACACACGCACACGCGCCCAGTGTGAGTTTAAGCCACCGGGTCTGGGACTCAAACCATGGTCAACTACATAGAAGTCCAGCAGCATAGCCATTATGCCAACTGCTGGCCCGACATGCTGTTATTTTAACATCCTTTTTTTATGTAGAAAGAAATAATAAAATCACAAAGATACTACAGAATTTGACCATGACTTCTTAACAAATCCCATTATACTACTACCAGGAGCCACTCTTAAAAATGTAATTGGGTCAGCTCTGGACATAGCAGTGAAAGCACTGCTCAGAAGAAGCCAGATCCCAATGCGACCACAGTTTGAGTCCCATGTCCAGTCAGCCTGAAATGTGCCAGGCACATGTGTGAGTGCCCAGGTCCTACTGGGCTTGAAGACTGCAGGGAGGGGACTGCAGCATGACCAGGCCGTGTGGAGGGTGCTCACTTCTCTCTTTCTCTCTCACATGTGTGTAGACATGCTCTATCATGAATAAAGAAAATAAAATTTAAATAAGGAAAAAAGTTTGGTGTGAAACATTAAAAAAAAAAATTACTGTTTTTTTTAATTGACAGAGGATACATCATTTGCTAGAGTCTTCCCCAACAGGGAAGACTCCCTCCACAATTCTTTTTCCTCCATTTCTCCATCCTGTCAACATTCTGAACCAGTGTCTTTCAAGCCACCAGGGCCGAAATTCAAACTGCATAGGCAATGCGGGACCCAGCTCCCAAAGCACGGCGCTTACCCACTGTGCAAAAGGGCGGGTTCAAACAACAACAATTTTTAAAAATTATTCAATTTTACTTATTTACTTTATTTTGACCAGAGAGGGACAGAGAGAGAGAGAGAGAGAGAGAGAGAGGGGAAGTGAGAAAGCAAGCCCTTAGGTCCAGGAATCGAACTGTGGTCGGCCACGTGGGGGTCCAGTGCCCTTGACCTCTATGCCACCTGCTGGCCCCCAACAACAAAAATGTAATGTAATTTTTTTTCTTTTTTAAGTATAGCATACGTTCAGAAAAGTAAATACGTCCTAAGTGTATAACTTGATAAATTTCCACGTGAAACACATCTATATAACGAACACTCAGATCAAAAACCAGAATACTGGGGCCAGCAGAAGGTGTGGTGGTTAAGGTGCTGGACACTACCACATAGCTGACCACAGTTCAAGTCCTGGACCTGGTGGTTTGCTTTCTCACGTTCCCTCTCTCTCTCTCTGGTCAAATTAAAACAAATAAATGAATAAATACAATTAAATAATTCTTTAAACACACACACAGAACACCAGAACCCCTAGAGTTCTCTCAGGAGGGGTGCTTTTTCAGACTTTATCTGGGGTGAGGAAAAGGTACGATTCATAGAAACAGAAAACTAGGTTGGATGAACAAAGCTAATACAGTTCAACACTTTTTTTTTTTTTTTTTTTTAGGAAGAGATTTTTCCTATGGGGCACATATGCTTATGGGAGAGACAGAGATTGAAAGAAAGAAATCATTCCCCAGGAGGGATGGCCATGCTACAATCCTTAATCCTCGTGAGATTTTTCAGGCATGCATGCATACGCGCCCAGCTTGAGTTTTAAGCTGCTGGGTGTGGGACTCAAACTGTGGTCAACTATGTGGGAGTCCAGCGATGTAACCATTACGCCATAAACTTCCCACTTGTCAGTTTATTATTTATTTTTTTAGTAAATATATCACTTTTTCTTTAGAATTATTTTATTGAACTTTATTTTACTTACGTATGCAAGTGTGTATGTATTTATTTTAATTCGACCAGAGAGGAACAGAGTGAGAGAGAGAGAGAGAGAGAGAGAAAGTGAGAAAGCAAGCCACCGGGTACAGGAGTTGAACTGTGCTCTGCCACGTGGAAGTCCTGTACCCTCAGCCACCATGCCACTTGCTGGTCCCCCATTTGTCAGTTACTAAGTTAATAGTACTACAAATTTTTGTAAATAATCTAAGCCCAAATTTAGAGACACGAAGAAACAAAACCAAAATCTAAACAAAATGACCCCCGATTTTGCTATGGGGTGTCTGCTTTCACCAGAAACAGAAAGAGAGTGAGGGAAATGCAAAACCACCCCTAGAGGGGATGGTCACGCCACAATCCCTTCTCCATTTTCCTGTTGGGACTTTGGGCATATACGCACACACGCCCAGGGTGTTTTTCAAGCCTCCAGGTCCAGGACTTAAACCATGCAGTTAGCTATGTGGGATCCAGCCATCATAGTGACTATGCCACAGGCTGGCCCTAAAAGGGGAGCCTCTTAAAGTTATTAAAAAAAAAAAAAAAAAAAAGGCTTTATTCTGAGGAGACTACAAATAGCAAAAGCAAACTTTTAAATTTACTCAAATACCCACAATGAAAGAGAAAAACCAAATACAGAGCAAAACTAAAAACTCATGGACAAAATTTACAAGAAATAATCTACCAGGGCCGGCAGGTGGTGTGGAGATTAGGGCACTGGACTCCCACATGGCTTACCACAGTTCGAGTCCCAGACCTGACAGCTTGCTTTCTCACTTTCTCTCTCTCTCTCTCCCTCTCTCTCTCTCTCTCTCTCTATCCCTCTGGCCAACTTTAATTAATTAATTAATTAGTTAATTAAGAAAGAAAGTTAAAAAAATAGGGACCAGCAGTTGGAGTAATGGCTATGTCGCTGAACTCCCATGTAGTCGACCGCAGTTTGAGTCCCAGATCCAGTGGCTTAAACTCACTCTGGGCGCTAGTGCGTGTGTGCCCAAGACCCCAAGGGGAGAATGGAGAAGGGATTGCGGCATGGTCATCCCCCCTAGGGGGTGATTTCTGGCTTTCTGTCTCTGTCTCTCTCTGTCGCTCCGGTGAGCACACAGGCCCTATAGAAAAAACCTCTCGGGGACCAGCAGTTAGCGTATTCTATAGGGCCTGTGTGCTCACCGGAGCGACAGAGAGAGACAGAGACAGAAAGCAAGAAATCAAAGGGATTGTGGTGTGGCCATCCCTGCTGGGGGGTGATTGCTCGCTTTCTGTCTCTCTGTCTGTCTGGCGAGCGCACGCGCCCTATAGCAAAACCCTCTCAAAAAAAAAAAAAAACCCAAAAACTCTCAAAAAGAAAAAAGTTAAATAAAATAATTTTTTAATTAAAAAAAAAAAAAAAAAACCCTTTATGAGAATCTTTGCAGGTCAAATGGCCCAGGTTCTTCAACAGATTGTTTTGAAGAAAAAGAAAGGAAAGAGGGAAACATGTAAGAGATTTAATGGAAATAATTCTTTTTAAAGGTTTTTGCCATTGGGCACATGTGCTTACTGGATAGAAATAGAGATAGAGGGAAAGTGAGAAATCACCCTTCACCCCCAGAGGGGATGGCCATTCAGCAATCTCTTTCATTCCCCTCATGGGATTCTGAGCATACATGCACATGTGCCCAGCTTGATTTTCAGGCTGCCAAGTCTGAGACTCGAACTGTGGTCAAACATGTGGGAGTTCAGTGCCTTAACCACTACACTACCTGCTAGCCCTGGAATATAATTTTATTATAAAAATATAGCTATAGTGTTTAAGATTGCCCATTTTGGGCGCTAGCACATGACATAGTAGTTAAGACACTGGACTCCTACATGGCCAACCAAGTTTCGAGTCCCAGACCTGGCAGCTTGCTTCCTCATTCTCCCTTTCTCTCTCTCTCTGGTCCCATTGAAGAATAACAATAAGTAGATAAAATTAAATTAAATGGTATCGCTGTCTTTAAAAAAAAAAAAAAAAAAAAGACTGCCCATTTAGGTGATAAAAGTGTAAGGAAATAGGAGCCAGCAGGTGGCATAGTGGTTAAGGGCACTGTACTCCAACCTGGCCAACTGTGGTTCGAGTCCCAGACCTGGCAGCATGCTTTCTCTCTCTCTCTGTCCCTCTCTGGTCAAATTTAAATTAATACATAATAAATAAATACAATAAAGCTAAAATTAAAAAATTATTTTAAAAAAAAGTGTAAGGAAACATTAGGAAGTGATTAAAAGTTATAGGCCCGCAGGTGGCACGGAGGTGAAAGCACTAGACTCGCACATGGCTGACTCAGCAGTTAAAAGTCTTGGACCTGGTGGCTTGAAAATCACTCCAGGCACATGTGCATGCATGTCCAAAATCCCAACAGGAGAAGAAAATCATCCCCTTTGGAGATGACTGTTCACTTTCTCTCTCTCTCTCTGTTTCTGTCTTCTTGGTGAGCATATGTGCCCTACAGCGAAACTCTAAATAAATAAATGATGCTCCTTTAAAAAAAAAAGGAACAATAGGTGGCATAGTGGTTAAGGCACTGGACACCCACGTGGTCAACTGCAGTTCAAATTCTGGACTTGGTGGCTTGAAACTCACACCAGGCACATGTGTGTGCATTCCCAAAATCCCAAGTGAAGAACGGAGGAGAAGATATTGTGGCATGGCATCCCCACTGAGGAGTTCTCATTTCCTGTCTCTTTGTTTCTCCAGCAAGCATATGCGCCCTACAGCAAAAATCCCTCCAAAGAAAAAGAAAGAAAAGTTAGCACAGAGAATTAATTCTTGGAGGTAAAGAGGAAGCTATGATCAGGACAGAACACAAGGAGTTGCTGCTAGGGTGACTGGCCAACTTCTGTTACTAGACCTGGGTGGTAGTTACAAGGGTACTTGCCTTACAGTAGTTTATTAAACTGTACATTTATATAATTTTTTTTAAGAGAGATTTTTGCTACATGGTGCATATACTCACCGGAAAGACGGAGAGAGACAGAACATGAGAAAACACTCCCTGGGGGAGTCCCACGTCTGGGACTCGAACTGCAGTTGACTACATGAGAATCCAGGGTCATAACCACTAAGCCATCTGCAGGTCCTATTTGTATAATTTTTCTATACGTTTTCTATATGTATAACCAAAAAATTGAAAATAAAAAACATACTTTTGCTGTCCCTTGTCTGACTGCAGATTTGCCACCATACCTTTATTCTTATTTTCATCCCCCAGGAAAAAAATCTGTAACTCTCACCTTGGTCACAATACATCAGTAAGTCCGGGTTACTGACCACAATAAAAGTTTCTTCATCTTTACCATGTGGCCGATGGTAACGGTAGTGCACAGGCAGAAGGGCCTGGAAATAAGCAATGTGCTGTGAATCTTGTTTGACATAAATGAGAACTTCAGATTCCTTGGACAAGTAATTAGGGGCTTCTATATTAGAATCTTCTGAAACCATCACTGCCTATCAAAAAGAAAATAAATAATCGAAAAGAAGAAACAAGATTATTTTTAAGAAGCAAAAATATAACCGGAAGATTGTGATAAGAGATATAAAGAAGTCTCAAACTTATTCCTCTTTATGCAGTAAGCATGAAAACTAATAAGACAAAAATGGTTAAAATGACTGTATCATTCTGGTAATTTCCTGTTCTTCAGAGAAGAAAGATAGTAATAAGTAAGATAGGGCAGTGTGGTCAGGAAGTCAAAGCAAAAGTCAGCACTCGTTTTTTTTTTTTAGAGACTTTTGCTATAGGGTGCATATACTCACCAGAGAGACAGAGACAGAAAGCAAGAAATCACTTCACTGGGGGGATGGCCATGCTGTAATCCCTTCTTCATTCTCTTCTCAGGATTTTGTGCATGCACATACACACAAGCCCAGCATGAGTTTTAAGCTGCTGGGTCCAAAATTCGAACCCCAGTCAACTATGTGGGAGTCCAGTAACATAACCATTACTACATCTGCCATTCCCTCAGTACTCTTTTTACAACAGGTGTGAAAAGTTAATGGAAGAAAAGGTAAATTAAAAAAAATTTTTTTTTTAGATTTTTGTCATAGGGTATGAGCACTCACCAGAGAGAGACGAAGGGAGACAGCGAGAGAGAAAAGTAAGAAATCACTCCCCCAGGAGGGGATGGACACATCATAATCCTTTCCCCTCCATTCTTCTCTTGGGATTTTGGACACACATGCACATGCACCTGGAGTGACTTTCAAGACACTAGGTCTAAGGCTTGAACCACAGTTGGCCATGTGGGAGTTCAGCACCTTAACTATTATACCACCTGCTATCTACAATAAGTGATTTTTTTAAAAATATGGCAAAAGCCATTTTAATGTAAATATTCTATACCAAAAGTAAAAATGTACATATAGTAGAAATTATTCCTGAGTTATAACTTGTGCATGGTTTTATTTATTATATATGTATCTGTCTGTATACACACATATACAATTAGGTATTATATATAATCTGGGTGTATAGATAAATACATACACACACTCAAACATCCAACTTCTCTTTAGACTCACTATGCAAAGCCCTAACATAACTCAGAAACACAGTATTGATTTTTTCCCATCACAGCAAGCATCCTAATTTTCCTTGTTTATTTCTTTTTCTTCTTTAGTTGTCAGAGGGCATGTGTGCTTGCCAGAGACACAGGTCAAAGAGGGAGAAAGCACTCCCTAAACAAGGCACAGTCATGCTGCAACCCCATCTCTATTTCTCCATCCCACTGGGATTTGAGGTACTCATGCACACACACCTGACGTGTTTCTCACAGGTTTCGAACCTCACTTGGCCATATAAAATTTGGCTCCCTTAACCACTAGGCTATGGGGCCAGTCCACATCCCAGTATTCCTATTGGACAGGGATACCAAGTGATATACTTCTTTTACATGTAGTTTCTTCTCTGTTAATCCAAGAGTAATAGAATTCATTGAAGGAATTATATAATTTTATGAGTCCTAAGGGACCTCAGAAGTGATTAAAGAAACCACTCTCCCAGTGAAGATGCTTTTCAGGTATCAGCCACCGCTTGCATATTTTCAATGACCGGAAGGGAACTCGTTACTTTAAGTCATCTCATTCCATCTAATGGTAATAGGTTATTTCTTTTGCACACATAGAAACTCAGGTACTGGCCCATAACCATCACCAGTTGCTCTTTGTTCTTGCTTGTCTTGCTACACTGGCCAGGCTGGCTTCTCAGTTCTTCTGCTTCAGCCTCCAAAGTAGCTAGGAGTATGGGTATCACCTCCATACCATGTCTGGCTACCTTTTTTCTTTCCAATTTGGTATAGGTCATGTACGCCTGCTGGAGAGAGAGACAGAGAGAGAGAAAGCACCTCCCCCCAGGGGGGAATAACCATACTGCAATCCCTTTTCCTCCATTCTCGTCTCAGGATTTTTGGCATGCGGGTGTGCCCAGCATGTTTTTTAAACCACTGGGCCCAACTGCTTTAACCACTATGCCACCTATCTGGCCCAATCTGTTTATTCCACTAAAGGTCCTTCAACATCAGAAGGCAGCCATGCTACCACCACTAAGTCTTTGCCTCTCCAGGGAAACAGTTCTCTGGATTTCTTATTATTGGTCTCTAAAACATTTCTCTTATAAACTGCCTTCTGAAATACTTATACAGTAGCAGTATTATTTTCTTTAAGAAAAACTTGCATTACCTTTTTAGCAGCCTTCTCTTAGTATGGGGTGTGTGTGTGTGTGTGTGTGTGTGTGTGTGTGTATGTGTGTGTATTTTTAAATTAATGTATTTTTTAGAGCAGTTTCAGGTTTACAGAAATACTGAACAAGAAGTACAGTTTCTATATACCTCCTCACCCCCCACCTCCACATAGTTCAAGCAATAGCTGGAACCTGAAAACTACCTTCATTTGATCACTTCTGAGGACCCTTATGACTCATGAAATTATGTAATTTCTTCAATAAGTTGTTACTTCTGTGACTGACAGAGAGAAAATAACATCTGAAAAAAGTATAGCATACGTGTGCCAGCAGGTGGCGTGGAGGTTAAAGCTCTCAACTTCCACATGGCCAACCAAGGCTCAAGTCCCAGACTGGCGGTTTAAAAAAAATCATGCCAGGTTGGGACCAGCAGTTAGCGTAATGGCTATGGTGCTGGACTCCCACGTAGTCGACCGCGGTTCGCGTCCCGGACTCGGTGGCTTAAAACTCACGCCAGGCACATGCGTGTGCGTGCCCAAGATCCCGAGGAGAATGGAGGAGAAGGGATTGCGGCGTGGCCATCCCCCCAGGGGGTGATTTCTCGCTTTCTGTCTCTCTGTCTGTCTGGCGAGCCCACACGCCCTATAGCAAAAACCTCTCAAAAAAAAATAAAAAATCATGCAAGGTGCATATGTGTGCATGCCCAAAATCCCAAGAGGAGAATGGAATGGAGGAGAAGGGATTACAATGTGGTCATTCCCTGCCCTCCCGCCAGAAGTGATTTCTCACTTTCCTTCTCCCTCTGGTGAGCGCACACACCCTATAGCAAAAAAACAAAAATCAGAAAACATATAGCACTTGGTGTCCCTATCAAAAAGGAAAATTAGAATGCTTGCCACGATGGGAAAAATTAATGGTGGCCATTTCTGCAATATTTCAGGGCTGTGCATAAAAAATCTAAAGAAAAATTGTATGTGTGTACATTTGCCCACAAACTCAGATTATATTTGATGTCTATATGTGATGCCTATATGTGATTCTGTGTGTGTATAATGAGCCAATATTGATACTTTATTACTAATTAAAGCCTATAGTTTATACTAGGGTTCACTTCTTATGTGGTACATTCTATGGATTGTGGCAAATGTAAAACAACACATCTCCACAATTATAGTATCATACAAGGTAATTTCACTAACCTAAAAATCCCATACTCTACCGGTTCATCCCTGTATTTTTCACTTAAACTTCTTGCAGAAAACCCTAACTCCCATCCTCTTTATCTTTGAAATTTGCCAGTTATGTGTTACAACCAACAGCAAAGTTAAAAGAATCAAGCTATGATTGCCTTGTCTGTTATATTCACTAGGTCTTTTTCTCACTGACTAGACAGAGCTCCTTCACAAAACCAAAACATTCTCCAGTTAAAACATAGCAACTGGGGACCAGCAGATGGCAAAATGATTATGTCACTGGACTCCCATGTAGTCGACCACGGTTTGAGTCCTGGACCCGATGGCTTAAATCCACACTGGGCATATGTGCATGCGTGCCCGAGAGGAAAATGGAGGAGAAGGGACTGTGGCATGGCCATTCCCCCAGGAAGTGATTTCTCGCTTTCTCTCTGTCTCTTTCTGGTGAGCGCACGCACCCTATAGCAAAAACCTCTCCAAAAAAAAAAAAAAAAAAAGTAATTGGTGCCTTTGAACAACTTGTACATTCTAAAAATGTGAAACTTTCTAAAAATGAAATGTATACTATTCTCATACTAAGATATAAATATATACATTTTTAAATGATCAGTCTAGCTAACATTTATCAATTTTATTCATCTCAAAGAAATGACTTTTGGTTTCACTGTTTTTTCTCTATTGTGTTTTTGTTTTTATTTCATTGATTTCTGCTATGATCTTTATTTCTATTCTACATACTTTAGATTCATTTGCTCTTGTTTATTCTTTTAAGGAGGCTTAGCTGAGGTCACTGAGTTGAGACCTTTCCTTTCTTTTTTCTCACATAGGCATTTAGTGCTAAAAATTTCCCATTAAGTATAGTTTTAGCAGCCTACCACTTATTCTAATGTATTGTGTTTTCCTTTTTTATTCCATTCAAAATACTCTTTATTCCCTTTCTATTCCTCCTTTGACCCATGAATTACTTAAAAGTATAAAGGTACTTTAAAAAGTTCATTTAAAAAATTAAAGTATGAGCTTATTTCGGTGTAAGAAATTTTGAAATCCATGTATAGTTTTTCATAATGCACATTTTCCATGAACTTTTAAAGACCCCTGGTATGCTATTTACTTCCCAAATATTTGAGACTTTACCACAGAACTTCTGTTATTAACTGACTGTTTCTTTTTAAAGAATTATTCATAAGGGTCATCAGGTTGTGTGGTTAAGGTGCTAGACTCCCACATGGCTGACTGGGGTTCGAATCCTGGGCCTAATGGCTTGCTTTCTCACTTTCCCTCTCCCTGTCTCTCCCTGGTCAAAATAATAATAATAATAATAAAATTAAATAATTTTTTAAAAGAATTATTATTATTAATTTAATTTGACCAGAGATGGAAAGAAAAAGAGGGAAAGTGAGGAAGTAAGTCACCAGTTCCAGGACTCAAACCGCAGTTGGCCATATGGAAGTCCAGCACCTTAACCACCATGCCACTTGCCAGCCCCTTGATTTCTAATTTAATTCTACTGTGCTCAAAGTACATACATCATAAAATTTGAAAATTTGAATTCTCTCAAATTCATTAAAGCTTTTTTTTTT